CACGTGATCTCATCCTCACCTTCGCTCCTCCGGACACCCCCCCCCCCCCCCCCCCGAGTCGCACAAATACTTGGGACGAGCCCGCTCGATCAACGGCATCTACGTCCTAGACTTCGACATACCGAGCTGTTAGGCTTCATCCGACGAGCTCGTGGATCTCGTCCCCCTCGATTTCCCCTTCATGAACAAAGAGTCATGGCAGCACCCAGACGGGAGGCCGTGGATTCGCCGCAGCCCTCATCCCCGTGAAATCAACCTGCACGAGCTTGACATCAACGGTCTCTGCACCACCTGCCACACTCCCACGGCAAGCCGCACAGAACAAGTGGAGAGAGATTATGCGGCAATCCAGGAAGCGGAAAGTGCCGAGGCAGAAACTACGGGCATGACCGAGATGGAACTCGCCGTGACTACTCACCGCATCTTCGGCGAAGAAAACGAACGGCTTGGTCAACAGCGGCAAGAACGCCCAACGCCCCGCGCAGAAACCCTCCGATGGATACTAGAGGCAAACAATGGAACCTTCGACGAGGAAGGACGCCCACGCCCCTACACCCGCAAGGAGATCGACAAAGGGTGGAAGGACCCTGACGCAAAAGAAGAGCTGAGCGTCAAGGAGGAAGATCAAGCAAAGGCAGAAAAGAAACAAAAGCTGTATGAAGAGCACGTCGCGGCCGGATGGGACGAGGAATCAGCACAACGAGGTGCATGGGGAGATGATGACTACATACCGGAGGAAGGTGCAACATGGGGATCCGCAACTGGCGCATCCGGCACAGTGCATAGAGGCGGATGGGGCGACATCGGCGGATGGGGAGGAGACGAATACGTGGATGCTCCGCTCATCAAAGAAGAAGAAGAGGAGATGGAATGAGAACTAGCTGCAAAACGAGGAGAACGATCGCCACGCGTCCCTATTCCGCTAGGACGCCCACCCCGCAACATGCCGTCATCATCACGCACACCATCATGGGGCAGGAACAGCTCCTGGGGCTGGTCGGAGATTGAGAAGGGGAACGTGCCACCAACTCCCCCACGTGACTCACTTGGTCCAATCTCCCGCTCAGATCCATTCGCACGCCTTATCGAAGGTACGAGGACCCCGCTCAACATCATCCCCGATCGCGAATTCCTTGCGCTTTACCTCACGACGGCACCTGCAGAAGGGGAGACAGCGACGGAAGCAGAAACAGGGGAGCCGGACAACGAAGCAGAACCAGGAGAAGAGGAAGAACCCCCACTCCAGATTCCGCAAGAGACGGAGGCGGAAGCAGCCGAGTATCTTGCACGCTACATGCGCACCTCCGGCATTCGCGCCGAAGACGATCTCTGGCATCAACGACTCGGTCACCCCTCGCGCCAGACACTTGCTAACTGTCTCCGCGCCAAGGTTTTTCCCCCAGGACAACGAAGCAGAACCAGGAGAAGAGGAAGAACCCCCACTCCAGATTCCGCAAGAGACGGAGGCGGAAGCAGCCGAGTATCTTGCACGCTACATGCGCACCTCCGGCATTCGCGCCGAAGACAATCTCTGGCATCAACGACTCGGTCACCCCTCGCGCCAGACACTTGCTAACTGTCTCCGCGCCAAGGTTTTTCCCCCAGGAGCATTGCTGCGCCCCGATGGCACAGAATCACACAACACCTCACGCCCAATCACCTGCACCGTTAGCCCCACAGCTGCTCTCTCTCACAGCGCCTACCCATCTCTGGAACCAAGCACCAACCGCTACAAGAAGTTGGAGAAGGTGTACAGCGACTTCATCGTGCTCACCTGCGATGGCATCAACGGTGAAAAGTACACGCTCACCTTCATCGACGCCTACTCACGCCACGTCTGGATCGCCAACGTCGATGCTCGCTCGAAGGCTCCAGAGGTCCTTCACATCTGGCTCGCACATGCGCAACGACAATCGGGGAGGAAGCTAAAAATTTGGCAGAGTGACGGGGCGAAAGAATTTCGCAGCTACGAACTGGAGAGCGTCCTCACTGAAAAGGGGATCAAGCACGAGATCTCTCTCCCCTACGCACATCAGCAGCAAGGCGTTGCAGAGAGGATCAATCGCACCCTCATGACAAAAGTTCGCGCCCTCATGAATCAGTCCGGCCTACCCAAGAAGTACTGGCCCTACGCCATGAACCATGCGGTGCGCCTGCACAACCTTCTCTCCACCACTGCCAACAGGGACAACCTTTCCCCGCACATGAAGTGGACCGGCTCAAGGAGAGACCCCTCCATGCTGAGGGTCTGGGGGTGCATGGTGCAGTATCGGTCGACTTCAGCCACAATTGGCAAATAACTTGACGCGCGCGCTGGGGAATTCATTTGGGACTCAGCAACGAGCACAAAGGGTGGCTCATTCTCGACATTGACAGCAATGAGGTTGTTCCCGTGCGTGATATTCTTTTCTACGAGGGACTCACCCTGAATCAGTGGATCGAAGACGAGCGTGGCAACGAGGCAGGCGGCTATGTCAACAGCGGCCGCAGTTTTGCATCCCCAGAGGACGAGGCAGCAGCAGCAGCACTCGACCGCGATCCCGCCGACGAACATCCCGGCGTTCCGCCTCGCCCGTGCGACGACGACGACGACGATGACGACGACAGATTCGCGCTAGGATCATCACGTCGCCAACCCGAGCCCAGCACCGCCGCAACTGCCCACGAGAGTGACAATGACGATGTGGTGGAGGTCACCACCAGCAACACCACCATCGTGTCCGGCCTGCAGCTCCTCGTCTGTCACTACCCTCACGCGCGCCGTCGAACCCAAGAACCCTCGCCAGGCCCTTACCGGCCCCACGCCAAGGAGTGGCGTGCTGCTATGGACGCGGAGCTACAGGCACTGGAATCACGCGACACATGGGTCCTAGTTGATCGTGCAGCAGTGAAGGGGAGGAGGGTGCTAAGCGGAAAATGGGTATTCCGTCTCAAAACCAACGCCGACGGCACCATCGAGCGCTTCAAAGCACGATGGGTCGTACGCGTTTACGATCAGTGCCACGGCATCGACTTCGACCAAACCTTTGCTCCCGTCAGTCGTCACACCTCCGTCAGAATTCTACTCGCCATTGCCGCCGCTAAGCACCTACCACTGCGGCAAATCGACGTGAAGAACGCGTTCTTATACGCGTTGGTGGATGCAACCATCCTCGTGGAACAACCACACACCTACGGGGAACGAGACCCCAGGGTCTGCCAGCTGAAGAAATCCCTCTACGGGATCAAGCAAGCGCCACGTCTCTGGCAGCAGCATCTGCACAAAAGTCTTCTGGAGATCGGCTTCAGACAGCTGCCGCACGACCCGGGAATGTACCGCCTTCACTTTAACGGCGACTACATCCTCCTGACAGTCTACGTCGACGACCTGCTGTACACCGGCACCTGCAACAAGCATCTTAATCAGTTCGAAGAAAATCTGGCACAGCGCGTTGACATCACCATCAACCACAACGTCACACTGTTTCTCGGGTTAACCATCACCTACGCGCTAGAAAATATTCATCTGTCAGCCTCTAAGTACGCAGAGCAGCTGGGGGAACGCTTCAACATTTCACCCGCACCACTCTCAACTCCTTACCGCAACCCCAGTGCCAACTACAAACCGGACAACAAACCTCTGTCGCCCGCAGGACTCCAAATGTACCAGCAGAAATTGGGGTCCCTGCTGTTCGCCTCTGTCACCTGCCGACCTGACCTTTCGTACATCGCCAGCCAACTGGCACAGTACTCTCGCAAGCCAGTAGCAGAGAACCAGCTGGATCTGGAACGCGCCCTGCAGTACTTCATTTCCACACCTGACATCGGGCTCTCCTACTCCACGCTGGCGACAACCTCCTTCAACCTCAACGGCTACGTGGATGCAGATCATGCCGCTGACCCTGCAAATCGACGGTTCCGAACCGGCTTCATCTTTCGCCTGGAACCAACATAACCAATCTCCTGGAACTCGCAAAAGCAGGAGCTGGTTGCCCTGTCATCGGCCGAAGCTGAATACATCGCCGCGACAGCAGCAGTTCGCGAAGGTCTGTACCTGCAGGAGCTACTGCAGGAGGCGAAAATTTCAACTTCGCCCACCTTTCGTCTTCACTGCGACAATCAGAGTGCCATCAAGATTGCAAACAAGCCAGGTTTCGTGAACCGCACGAAGCACATCGCGCTTCGGTACTTCTTCGTCAAGGACGAAATTGACCAGGGCAAGGTTGATCTCACGTACTGCCCCACCACCGAGATGGAAGCCGACTTTCTCACCAAGCGACTGCCACGTCAGCAGTACAAGCACTGCTCCGACCTCACCGGAGTGGTCAAGCGAGTCAGCCCCCTGCGCGCCCAGGAATGAAGGGGAGTGTTACGATATGAAACTTTATGAGAAGGCATTCCTGTATGCTACAGGGACCGACTCTAAAGTGTACGAAGCCGAGGAGTCAGAAGAGTCGAAGCGACACTGGTAACCGTCTGATCAAGACCGATGCAGGCAGAAACATTCGAAGTGAAAAGAGCGGGAACATGTTTGAAACGGGTTCCCGCGCCGCACGGTTTGAATTCGCCGCAATAAGGGAATGTACCCCTTAGAGTACATGGCTAGTCTAGGTCTTTTTGTATTCCCTTGTATTCTTATATAAACCCGATGTATGCATGCTATTATCAACTCATTCATTTATATTCACTCTGACCTGAGATTCAAATCTTCCGCTGCAATACTACTCTGCGATCAACCCTGAGCGATCCTTCGCTAAGTCCCACTTGGGATTGTAACAATCTGAAACTTCAGACTTATCTTTAAATAAAATATATGATTCGTCAGGATTGAGGCCCAATTTGTTTTTGAACGTTCATAGTATACTTTTTTTTTTATGAAATAACAGAGTTTTTCATGCAAATCAGAGAAATTTCCCTGACTTTTTAGTGGGGCCTGCTGGGCTCTTATAGTTTTTTCCTGGTTATAAGAACTATAAGAGGTCAAGGATCAGGATCTCTGGGCCTTGATCGCGTTCGAGCCTATGCTAGTGTTGGCGCATACAGTACAGAGTAGTGGTGGAATCTGCGGAGCAGAGCAGGCCCGCATTTGCGGTGATTGGGGTTGACGGCACCAAATCTGAACAAGTCCCAGCAACGTCATCACCTCATCTTCCAGATGATGTTTGATATTTTTAGAAATGCTCGTAAATGGAGAACAGCCGCGCTGCCAGTCATGAAAATAGAGCGGCAAATGAATTGCCATTTGATGAAGCGACAGACCTGGATAACTTTTGTGGGTGTTGTTATTTAGCATCATGTAACGGTCCGTTTTGCAAGCTTCGCAAGCCCTTCACCGGAGAATCTAATAACGAGGATGTGGATCCCGAGGCGCCGGCGAGATGTCGCACGGTGTCGTTCGACGCGTCGCAAGAAACGCATTACGTCATCGTCGTCCACGGCACGTTCGACGCGCCGCCGGACGACGGATCGCGCACGTGGTACCAGCCCACGGCGCCCGGCGAAATCAACTTCTGCAGCAAGATCGACGCGCGCCTCGCGGAGGGGCCGCTCGGCGGCGGATGCGTGTGGCGCGAGCTGCCGGCGGAGCCGCCGGCGCGACTCCGCATTCCGTATCCGTTTCACTGGGACGGCACGAACACGCATGAAGGGCGCATCGACGCCGCGCACAAGGTTATTACTCAAGCACCCCATAGCAGAATATGGTTATTATCTCTCCAGGAGAGAATCGTTTTTCACACTGTTCTAAAACGACACTTCTCAATGCCCTATTAGCTGCACCACGAAGTTAGACTCTCTCCCTAATTCTCCCACCAATTCTCCCCTTGAGAACCTCTTTTACCGTCAATCCACACAGTTGCTATCACTCCTTCCATCTCGTTCCTCCTACCCCCTCTTTCCCCCCATGGCCCATTTCCCCACTCTCCCCGCTACTGCCCCACTCTTCCCCCAATTCACGCCCTTCCCATTCGCCTTCTCTTCCCTCCACTTCCCCCCTTCTCCCGACCTCTCGACCCCTCTTACCCCCTCTCGTCCCCCCTCCCCCCCCTCCCCTTCCCGCCCTCTCCTCCCTTTCCCCCCCCCTCTCCCCCTCTCCCCCTCTCGGCCACAGCTGGCGCGCCTGTTGGACCTGATAACACACAGCAACCCCTCAGCGCGTATCCACGTCATCGCCCACTCCCACGGAGGCAACGTGCTACTTAAAGCCATTGAGCTCGTGAGTGCTGCTCAAAGCCATTGAGCTCGTGAGTGCTGCTCAAAGCCCCTGTGGTTTAAAGGCCGGGTGGGTAAATACCAAATGGTTAAAAAGCTTCACCTTCCTCCGATTTTCCTCTCGTAGCATCATCACCTTTTCCATTGCCCTTCTGAATTCCCCTTCCCTCGTTCCTAGTCTCAATTCCTCCTCCTCTCTCCTCTCCCTTTCCCCTCTCTTGTCGACCCTTTCCCCTCTCCCCGCCCCCTGCCCTCCTGCCACACACCACAGTACATGAAGCGCCAGGGAAGCAAGGCCGTGTCAGACCTCCCGCCTGCTGTCCTCCAACGATTCTGGGCGGCGTACAAGAGCAGATACGATTTGATTCGCCACTGGCGGAAGCCGGATGTTTCCAACACCTGCTGGCGCTTCTTCCCCTTCCTTGTTGTCAAGAGGAGGTACGCTGCTGCTCACCCTCCCTGCCCTTTTGAGTCCCGCTCCGCCTCTCCCCTCCCTCACCTCTCTCCCCCCCCTCCCCTTCCTCTCCTCCCTCCCTGCCTCCCCTTCCTCTTATCTTATTTCCTCGACTTTCCCCTCGTGTGCCCCTTCGCCCTTACTCCCATGCCCCACGCCCCCGCGCGTCCATGCGGGCTGCATGGTGCAGTTTTACGAGGCAACGAGGCTGCAGGTGCACAGGGGGAAAAACACACTCTCTCCCCCCCGTTCCCCGCCCCTTCTCGCTCCCGATCCCTTTCCCCTTACCCTGCACCCCCTTCACTCCCCTTAACCTGCACCCCCTTCACTCCCCGCCCACATGCAGCATGGCGGGGCACAGGGCAGGGCGGGTGAAGGAGCAGTACGTGTGCGCGTGCTAGCCACCGGTGGCCGGACTCCTTGCCAGTGCCAACAGGGGAAGAACACCCACCAATCTTCCTTGTGCTCTGCACCCCGCTTCTCCCCCTTATTTCCCCTCCGCCAATTACCCCCCACTTCCTCCCCCCCCTCTCGGGCCGCACGCAGCATGGCGGGGAGGAGGGAGGGGAGCGTGAAGGAGCAGTACCCGTGGGGGCGCTACCGCTGGCTCGACTCGCTCCTCCGCCTGCCCTCGCAGCGCCAGCGCCTCTTCCTCGCGCACCGCCTGGCCACGAGCCCGCTGTCGAACGCGCTGGGGGGGGTGGTGTTCCTGGGCACGCCCTTCTACATGAAGACCTGGCAGCGCAACGGCATGCTGCTGCTGCTCGCCACCACCGCTGTGTCCATGGTGGTGACGTTTGTGGTGATGTGGGGCTACGTGCTGCTGTGGCGCCTCGTGGTGCTGGCCATTGCAGGCGAGCTCTCAAGGTATGATGCACACATGCACGTGCTGCTTGGTTGTGCTCGCCACCACCGCCGCGGCGTTCGCGGTCATGTGGGGCTGCGTGCTGCTGTGGGGCTACATGCTGCTGTGGGGCTACATGCTGCTGTGGGGCTGCGTGCTGCAGTGGCGGGTGATTGTGCTTGCCTTGCCATTGCAGGCAAGGTTAAAAAAAACGCCGTTTTTTTGAAAATTTACCGTAAAAAACGGCCGTAAAAAACGACCGTAAAAAACGGCCGTAAAAAATTATAAAAAGGGTTCCAGAAGGTGGTTTCGTTTGAAGAAAAAATCGGCCGATTTCTGGGACCAAATTGATGGCGAAAGGTACCAGGATGAAGAGGACGAACCCCTCCTTGCATGCGTGCGCTTGTGGGCATGATTGAAAATGTATTCGACCTTGTTTTTTCCTTTTTTTTCTTGGTGACAACAGTTCTCTAACAAAAAAACGACGTTTTTTTGGAAAATTACCGTAAAAAACGGACCGTTCTTTTTACGAAAACCGTATTTTTGAATTTTGATTGCAGGCGAGCTTGCACATGGTGGGGGTGCAGGGAGTTTGAACATGCTGGGGTTTGATAGTGAACTCGTAAGGAGCGATTAAGTTGGGTTGGATTGGGTTGGGTTGAGTTAAAACCCTTGCTTATCCCTTCAACCATTTCCTCGCTTCACAACCCTGTCTTTATCCCTTCCACCCTTCTCTCCCCCCTCGCCACCATGCCATGCCCCCCTCGCATGGCACCAGAACCGCCACTCCCACCTACCTGCCCTTCTCCCTCGCCGCGGCTGTTCTCGTCTTCGCCATCGTCAGTGTGGCACTGGAGGTGCGTGTGATACTATAGCAGAGCAATTTTATGGGTGTGTGTTGGGGGTGTGGATACATAGGAGGCGATTCTCCAAAACATGATTTCTGCGCCTGTCCAAGGTGTTCCTTCAGTAAGGGCAATGATGTCATTGTATGCCCGTGCTCTTCAATGATGTCGTTGTATGCCCGTGCTCTTCAAATGAAAACCACACTCAGGGTACGGGCGGCCTCATTCTATTTCTCGAAAGTCTCCTCTTCCTCCCCCTCTCCATGTCCTCCGTCTCCCTCTTCTCTACTCCACTCGCCTCTCTTTTCCCTGCCACCACCACCACCCCAGCTCTTCTCCTGCACCGCTCTCCACACCCACACAACCCATTACACATCACTCTCGCCGCACCCTCTTTCACCTTCTTCCGTCTTCTTTCTTGCTCGCCTCAACCCGTCTCTTCTCCCCTTCTCTCTCCCTCCTCAGCTCTCCCCTCATCCTTCTCTGTCCCCCGCTCGTCGCTCTCACCAGCTCTGGCGCAGCACAGCCTTTTACAGCGGCAACATCTACCACTCGCCCGGCTTTGATTGGTCGCATGCCATGTCAGCACTTGTCATCCACGCCGGCAAATTAGACGAAGCCAGCCTGGCGCTCTCCACCGAGCCTATCGCCCGAGCCTACATCTTCCCGCAACTAGCCTCCATGCTCAAACTCCCCTTCTGGAAAGCCCTCCCCCGCCGCCCGGTCACGAGAAAATGCTCCGAATGGACGCTTTACATCAGCAACACTGCCCGGATTCTCATGTGGAACATAATTTTCATCCTGCCCGCATTGGCTGTAGCACTGCTGTCGCGCGTGCTGGCGCCCGTGATAATCTCCATGGTGTGCAACGTGATCGTGACGGTGAGCTTCGGGCTGTCCGCCAAGGAGCTGAGCTTCGCCAGTGTGTTTGTGGACGAGCGCCTCAACCTGGGGCTCACCTCGCAGCTCATCGAGCACTGGAACGTGCAGGTGCGCTTTCAGTCGACTGGAGTCGAGTGTGTTTGTGGACGAGTGCCTGTACCTGTACCTGTACCTGTACCTGGGGCTGAGGCTGGGGCTGGGGCTGGGATCGCAGCACATTGAACACTGGAACGGGCAGGTGCGCTCACATGGCATCATGGGCTCACATGGCATCATGGGCTCACATGGCATCATGGGCTCACATGGCATCATGGGCTCACATGGCATCATGGGCTCACATGGCATCATGGCCTCACATGGCATCATGCGCACCACAGCGACATAATTGGAATACATCACTACTGCTGCAGCAGGTGTAGCAGTACTCCACAACTGAAATATTTCAAATCGCCTTCTCCCTTCCTCCTTGCTTGTTTAGGGGAATGAAAAGAAATTCCTCTTGCTTGCTCCTGCCTCCCCTTCCCTCCCCTTCTCTCCGCGCCTTGTCAGAAACTGCTGGCGCTGGCCAAGACGAGGTCGCTGCAGGGCGAGCTGATGGAGGGCTATGAGGACGACACGTGTGACATGGGGGAGGTTCTATTTGGGGACGGGCTACCTGAGGAGGGGGTGCCTCGAGAGGGGGTGCCTCGAGAGGGGGTGCCTCGAGAGGGGGTGCCTCGAGAGGGAATGCCTCGAGAGGTCGTAACCGGGGTAGGGTTACCCGTGAAAGGGGTAACTGCGGAGGGGTTAACTGGGAGGGAGGGGAAGGTGGAGGAGGGAAAGGAGCAGGAGGAGGTTGGAGAGAGGGAGGTGAGGGTGAGGAGTCAAGGAGAAGCTGATGAACGAGCGGGTGCAGCGGGTGCAGAGGGTGAAGGGAGTGCGGTGATAGACTCGATACAGACAGGCGCGTTAAGACCAGAGCCTCTTGACTCGCGAGCAGGGCCCTCGGGTACCCTTTTGGGGGGCGAAGCAGGAGAGGAGGGAGGTGGGCGCAGCGAAACAGGAAGCGCAAGACGAAGCCTAAGCCGCTTCCGAAGGCGCGTGACATTCACCGAGCGGTCTCTGCGACAGGGAGAGAGGCGAGGGGAGGGCGGTGAGGAGTTGGATGAGGAGGGAGGTGTGGAGGGGGTTGACGGCAAGGAAAAGCGAGCAGGAAAAGGGGTCAGCTCCCAGGGAGGTGGCAGCTCGGCATGGAAGGCGGGAGCGGGCGGTTCATCACGAACACTTTCGGGCGGGGCTTCCGTGGAAAGAGCAAATGAAGAGAGCAAAGGGAAGCAGCAGCAGGGAATGGAGGAGAAGGGGATGGGGTCCATGGCTGGCAGTGGCGGCAGGGGGGAGCGGCTGGCATACAAGTTCCTGTGGGACGATGGTGTGTTGGAGGCAGCCGCACGCGAGTCAGAGACGTACAAGCTGCTGCGCCCACAGCTGCACGCCATCACCCACAACCCGCGGCTGTCCGACCAGGAGTGCGTGCGCCAGGTGAGACTGCAGACAGACAGGTGAGGCAGCAGACAGACAGGTGAGGCAGCAGACAGACAGGTGAGGCAGCAGACAGACAGGTGAGGCAGCAGACAGACAGGTGAGGCAGCAGACAGACAGGTGAGGCAGCAGACAGACAGGTGAGGCAGCAGACAGACAGGTGAGGCAGCAGACAGACAGGTGAGGCAGCAGCCAGACAGGTGAGGCAGCAGACAGACAGGTGAGGCAGCAGCCAGACAGGTGAGGCAGCAGACAGACAGGTGAGGCAGCAGCCAGACAGGTGAGGCAGCAGCCAGACAGGTGAGGCAGCAGCGGCCATGCATGCTGCTGCGCCCCCAGCTACACGCCATGGCATAAGTGTGTTCTGGCGCGCGCATGAAAGGGCACGAGAAAATTACGAGGCCCAGTCATACACATCCGCTTTCAACAAGCCATTGGTTCCGATGAAGGGAGGGTGGTGTGGTGTGGTTTGGTGTGGTGTGGTGTGGTGTGGTGTGGTGTGGTGTGGTGTGGTGTGGTGTGGGGAGCTGCCACGCCGTTCATTCTCCTGGGTGATGCCAATCTTTCCTAGATTCACTGGCACTCGGGTTTTACATTTCGGGTGTGAACATTCGGTAAGCAATGAGGTCACTCACTCCCCTCTCTCTACCCTCCATTTTCTCCTCTATGTCACAAAAGGTGGTTCGAAAAGGGTTTGGTTCGAAATTTAGAGCTAAAAGGAGCCCTGCGTGTGATACACCATTCTCCCCTCGCTCACCCCATCCGTGTCTCCTCCTCTCCCTCCCCCTCCTCCCTCGCGTGTGCAGGTGAAGCAGCTGTGTGTGATGATCGAGGAGCGCTTTGGCGAGCTCACCGGCCGCTTTGACCTCAACCACGGGGCGTACTTCCGAGATCCCCGCATTATCGGGGCTATGGTGCACTTTCTGGGGTACAGGGAGCTCCCTGATTGGTCCAGGGAGATCGATACGGATGTGTTGCGGGCTGAAGAGAGGATCAGGTTTGGGAGGCTTGGGCAGGGGTGAAGGGTGATACTAGGTAGGTCGGTACTAGGTAACTACTGGTAGAAATATCTTGGCACGTAGCTCGAGTTGGGTTGGGTTGGATGAGAAGTCAACTGGTTTAGCACCTCTCGTTTAGGTATCTGACACAATGAAAGCCTGGACTGGACGTGAAGCAAATCCTGATTGCATCTACCGGTATCTGTAGACATGCCCAGTATGTAAAATTATGAACGACTATATTTTTAAATACCACCATTAACAAGTCCGGTTTAATAAGTGAGCTTACCAGTACCCTCTTAAATACCTAGTTACTTGAGTACGGTAGCAAGAGAATGGTGAGACTAGGTCAAAGGAAGGGGATACAACCAAAGTGTCGAGAAAGTTTTGTACCCCCTAACATGCAACTCACTAGAGCATATCTATATGTAAAAACATAGTTTGACACACCCCCATAGGCTAAGTGAGGGGCATCAAAACAAACATGACATGCATGTGGTCACAAGACCAGTCAAGAAGAGAAACACAACAAGCTCAGGGTGGATCACGAAGTCACCACACATTCCGAGCACAAACAAAAGGCCACAAGCAGGGCTGGCGTTTCAAATTTAGGTACCCTGATTTCCACCAAAAAAAAAAAAATGTACCCTGAAGGCAGATTTTCCAGAAAAACAGCACCCTGATTGCTCAGTGTTGGGAAGTTATATAGTCTGATTGTTCAGGGTCGAGAAGTCAGGATCAAAGTAGTAGTAACGCGCTGTGCATTATCGAAAATTGGTTTTTCCTGTGTCTGATGGAAATGGCCCAATCACAGCGAAATGGCCCTGACACAACAGATTTCCGCTGTGAGAGCACATTTCGACCAATCACAGCGAAATATATCTGATATTGCAGTTTAGCCCGATCTCGATGGTGGGTGTATCGGAACGAAATTTCGAAGAAACTTCGTTCCGATAAAGCTGGGGGTGGGGGGGGGGGGGGGATTACGCACATGTGGGGTACTTGCGATCAATCCGAAGGCGGGGTTATTGGAAGGAAATTTCCGAGAAACTTCCTCTCGATAAGGTCAAATTCAGGGACCACTTAGTCGATACTCTGTTAAGTCAGGGTCCACTAACAGGCTAGTCTGTTACACTATACTCAAAATCAGGGATAGGAAAACTATTACTCTGATTGGATCAGGGTTGAGAAGTCAATAATTCTGAAATTTCAGTCTCTACAAAGTGGAAAGCCTGAAATCACCCTGAAATCAAGGTAATCACCTTGATAAAAACAGCCCTGGCCCCAAGGCCAGTTCAAGGGTTCGCAGACATATATAGAAGTACAGCAAGCAACAAGAGACAAGACTACTGTAGCCAAGAGCCTACGTGAACAAGGCCTAACTGCAAACAGAACCTGTGGTGGTCACCAGGCGGAAGGGCCTTGGTGAAGCTCTCTGCAGTGTTGGCCTCTAAGGCCACGAAGTCCAAGCGTGCCTGGCCACGTCGCTGCAACTCTCGCAGGAGAAAGTACCTGGCGTCGATGTGCTTCACTCTGCTCTCCAGTCGAGGCTCTCGACACAGGAGGATCATGGCCTTGTTGTCAGCGAACAATGTCGGTGCAGAGCTCGGCCGCTCACCAAGGTCGGTGAGCAAGAAAGTCAACCAGCGAAGCTCCTGCGCAGCCATGGCACCGGCGTAGATCTCTACCTCAGCACTAGACGAAGCCACAAAAGACGACCGAGTAGACCTCCACGACACAACTCCAGCGCCCAAGCTGAAGCAGTAGCCCTGAGTGGACCTCTGTGTCTCCACGTCGTCGGCGTAGGAAGAGTCACAGTGACCAGTCAGTACAACTGGTTGTGTCCCCCCCGAGCACAAGCCCCATGCCTGATGTAGTCGCCAGGTACTTCGCCACCCTCACAGCAGCTGTCCAGTGAACAGGACGATGTCTCCCAGTCGCAACAAAGCGAGAGAAGACGCTGAGGGGAAAGGCGAGGTCCGGACGAGTACAAGTCATCAGGTACATCAGGCAACCCACAATCTCTGAGTAGGGACAAGTAGACTCAAAAGGCTTGTCGGGAAAAGGGCCGGTGAGTCTGTGGTCAACGGCAAGAGGGGTGGGCTGTGTGGTGGAGTGCTGAAGCCCGAACCGCTGAAGGACCTGCCGCACCATGTGTGACTGTCCCTGGTGATTTGCAAGCCAAGGTAGCGGCGCAGCTCGCCAAGGTAGCGGCGCAACTCACCAAGGTCAGTGTACGTGTGTCTCTTCTGCAGTTTGGACTTCACCTCAGCCAGTGCAGTCCTGTCTGCTGTAGCAAAGACCAAATCATCGACATAGACGAGGACGAAGAAGGGTGTGGGCCCAGAACGAACGAACAGCGACGGGTCGGCGGACGAAGGACGAAACCCGAGGGCAGCAAGAGTAGTGCGCAGCGTGTCCTGCTACTCTCGGGGCGCCTGGCGGAGACCGTAGACTGGTTGCCTCAGGCTCCACTGGGTCCCAGGCGGGAAAGTTCCAGTGAATCCAGGAGGACGACGCAACCAGATCTCCTCGTGCAGGCTGCCCTAGAGAAAGGCGGTGGAGAAGTCGCGGGAGTGCAGCTCGTAGTCTTGCTGTGCTGCAACTTGAAGTAACACCGGAAGAGTCGTGATCTTTGGGGTCGGGGCAAAGGTCTGGAAGAGGTCAACTCCCTCATGCTGACTGAAACCTCTAACCTTGAAGACAGGCGGCGATCCAGGCGGCCGCTTCACCTTGAAAACCCACATGCCGTCAACTACGTTCGCCCCAGGTGGGGGAACTGCGTCGACGTAAGTGCCTGTGGATCTCCAAGACGCCATCTCTGACTCCATGGCCGCTATCCACTGAGAAGCCCACAGCCCTGAAACTGCCTCACGGTACGTGCGAGGAGTCGGTATGTCAAGGGCGTCGGGGTCTCCCTCAGGAGCTATCAGCATGGCACAGAGATGGGGAGAAGCGGCCGCCAAGAACCCCAGCTCAAACTGCCTGTACTCTAGGACGTCACAGCAAAGGGCAGACTCACCCCCGGCGGACAAAGGACGGGCAGCTACTACACGGGTGGATTAGTTAAGGTGGCGGGTGGCGGCAAAGTCACCGACAGTGGCAGAAAGAGCCGAGACGAACGACGGAGAGGCACGAGGGTCCGTGACTAGAGAGGCGAGAACACGAGTGACAACAGGACGGGTGACACGATGGTAGTCAGTGATAGGGGTAGAGGTTGAGGCTGTAAGAGACGACTCAGGAGGTGACGGGAGAACAGACTGAGGTGGAGAACGATGAGGACTCGCGAAGTAAGACAGTGCAGAGGTCGTCAAAAGGAGACGAGGGACGTGCACGAGCGGGACAGCGCACTGTCCAGTCGTGCGTGACAACAGGAGGAGACGACTGTGACCGAGGAGGAGAGAAGACAGCCGGAGAAGGGTCCGGGGAGGGAACGTAGGACCGTAAGCAGGGGGAGACAGTGAGCGGTCTGGAGGAGAGGAAGGAACTACAAGGGCCCGAAGGCCACTCACAGATGGAAACAACGGCTGCAAGGGCAATGGCTGCTGCTGCTGCTGCTGCTCCTGGTGTTGCTGCTGCTGCTGCTGCTCCTGCTACAGCCGCTCCAACCCCAGCCTCTCCTGCTCCAACCGCTCCCGCTCCTCGCGCTCTAGCTGACGAAGCCTCTGGAAACTCGTCAGGTAGCGGTGGGGAGGTGGGGTAGGCGCCACAGTAGCAGTGCCTCCAGCTCTAGTCTCCTCAGAACTAGCACCTCCACCTCCAGCACCCCCAGAACTAGTGTCCCTAGGACGAGCACCCCCAGAGCTAGCACCGCCAGAGCCAGCACCCCCAGCACGAGTACCCCCAGAACGACCACCTCTAGCGCCAGTAACCTCAGCGCCAGCACCCTCAGAACTAGTACCTCCAGCGCCAACACCCTCAGCTCCAGCACCCTCTGAACTAGCACCCCCAGCGTCTATGCCCCCAACACCAACACCCCCAGAGTCTACTACAACCTGTCGCGGTAGTGCTGAAGGCCGCTGCGGTGACTGTGAGGATGACTGTGGGGAAGGAGACGGTACCTGACGTGCTACCGAGGGGAGAGGGGTAGCGTGAGACACACCAGACGGAGCAGGACCAGAGGGGGGCGGGTGTACCGGAGGAGCGCGAGCAGGAGGAGGAGAGGGGGCGAGGAAAAGGGGAGGGGGGGGAACTGGGAGACCTCGACAGGGGTACCGGGTGTATTAGGACACGAACTCGCTAAACTGGACGTCACGAGAGTCAAGGAACCTATGGAGGGGCGGGTGGTAAAAGTTGTAGTCAGAGGAGTCCACCGGGAAACCAAGGAAGACACACGGGATGGCGCAGGTCGAGAGCTTGTCTGCAGAGGTGTCGCGGACAAGCGCAAGGCAGCCCCAGACACAAAACTCCGACGCAACACCAGGGGACCCGGTCCAAAGGCTGGTCGGTGAAGCCCCTGGCCGAGAGACACGAGGCCAGAGGTTCAGCTGGTGGGCGACGTAGCGAACCGCGTAGGGCCGCAGAAAATGGGGTGCACGGGCATGGATCATGGAGGTACGAGCAATCTCCATGACCAAGCCTATGCGGCGCTCAGCAACCCCATTCTGCTGTGGGGACTCTAGAAGCGTCCAGGGCAGGGTGATGCCCTGCTCGCTATAGAATCCGCGAAGAATGCCAGAGCGAAACTCACCCCCACGGTCGGAGTGAAGACAATTGACACGACGGCCACGTGTGGTCTCAGTGGCCAGCAACCACCGGATCAGCGTAGAAGTCACGTCGGACTTCTTCCCCAAAGGGAACGCGGTGGTGTAGCAGGAGTAGTCGTCAATGACCATTAGAAATAATATCTCCCTCTCGGGCCCAGGGCAAGGGGCGGGGCCCCAGACGTCCAAGTGGAGAGTCTGGAAAGGTGCAGTGGTCGGACGAAGGGAGGAGGAGTGAGGAGTGGTGCGCAGCCAAACCTCAACGCAAGGAGTGCACGGCGGTGCATGCGAAGGAGGGAGCGACGGAAAGACGCGCGGGAGACCTGAGACAAGACGCTGGCTAGCCATGCTGCGGCGGCGTGGGAGGGACGGGTGACCAAGACGGTGGTGCCACCGGACTATCAGGTGGGTGAGTGACCGACAGGAGCACGACGCAACAACCTGACCGGACACAGCAACCTGACTGGACACAGCAACCTGATCGGACACAGCGACCTGAGGGGACGCAACTATCTGGGAGTGCTCAGTGTGCAGGACGTAGAGACCAGAGTGGGGCTCCTTGGTGAACGTGGCAAGAACGACATCGGTGGCAGCGTCCGAACGGACCGCAGTCCTCCCGTGCCCCAGAAAGGTAACTGTGATCCCTCTATCCTGGAGGCATCCAACACCCACCAAGTTCCGAGTGAATGAGGGGATGTGGAGACCTCTAAGGACACCAGAGGGGACAACCAGGCACGGGAGAGTGGTAGAGCTGCGTGCAACTGCTGGTCCTGAAGTAGGATCAGCCAGGGCAACCGGAACTGGAGTAAGAAGTGGTGTGAGAGTCGTGTGGTCGCGGAAGAAGCACTGCGACGCGCCAGAGTCCAGTGTGAAGGACAGCGACGCCTCAGCCGTAGGTGCACCTGGGCTGGTAGCAACACAAGCACCTAGTGTGGAAACACAAGCACCTAGACTTGAGAGACAAAGATCTACACTAGCAACAGGCAAAGAACCTAAACTACGAACACGCAAGCAAACCGATCCAGCAGCACTATTGTCAACATCAGCATACACCACAGAAACAGAGTCTAAAGCATCAACTAACTCTGCCGCAGACAAGTTCCACAAAGCGAGCAAGCGGGGCCTAGTCCGGAGCAGGGCCAAGGCCGAATTGTGCGCGGACGCGGTCAGTAAGCTACGCAAAGCACTGACCCGGAGCGTGGAAACGGCCACAGCGAACACCCGCACGACCGCCCGACTGAACCACGTACGGGTAGGGAGGCGGAGTGACACCATGCGACGCCGAGCTGGGCGGACCACCGCCACGACCAGTGCTCCCTGGTCCACCAGGTCCCCACTGCTGCTGCACCTGCCGCTGAACCTGCTGCTGCGGCTGTCCCTGCTGCTGCGGCTGTCCTGACTGTGGCTGTTGCTACTGGGACTGCTGCCGCCGCTGTGCCGTGTACCACGTGACCGCACCAGCACCCCCTCCCGTCAGGCCCACAGGCGCAGGGCCGCTCCCAGTGTCGCCACCACCCTTCCCCCCTCCCTTACCCCTGGACCGCCCACCCGCGGTGGACACGGCCGCAGTCTCCAAAGGAGAAGGAGATGCGGTAGAGGGAAGAGAAGCACTGGAGGTGGGAAGCTGTGGGACAGTGCACTCCTAAAAGAGCGGGAGAACTAAGGCGTCAGATGCGGAGGCAACGGAGCGGATATTGCTCTCGATGTCCTTGAGAGCGGTCTCAAGGACATCGATGGTGAGCTCACTAGGGTGCTTCCGAAGAAGCTCGTCACGGACAGGTGCAAGGCGGTTAGGGAGGCTAGTGGCGATAAAGTGAATAGTGATCGCCATGGGCGGGGGGAGCAGTGCAAGCTGAGCCTCAGTACAAGCAGCACGGTAGCTGACGTCTAGCGAGTGCAGGTGGGTGATAAGATCAGCAGCGCGGTCAAACGAGCCTAGTTCAGGAAAGAGAAACGGCAGAAAGAGGCGACCAAGAGAGGCGGAGGTGGGAGTGGAATAGCGTGTCTTAATGGCAGCGAGCAGGTCCTTGGCAAATCGAACCTGAGAGAAGTGAGCCTCCTCAGTCTCGGGGAGAAGGCTGGAGAGGGCAATGCATACCGCAGCGTCACGCGACTGCCACACTGAACGAGCAGTACGGGCTTTATCGAAGCGCGCCTGGACCGCCTCGTCAGGCTCAGCACCCAGGTCAGGAGGGGACGGAGGCTCAGGCAGGTCACCGGAAGCGTGCGCCCAGAGCATATCATTGTCCTGGCGCTGGCTCTTGAGAAACCGCTCGGCACGGATGAGCCAGGAGGGGAACTCTAGGGCTCTACCCTCAGCATCAAAGCGCAGTACGCGAGGGGCCGCCATAACGAGGGAACTACCGGCCGAGAAGCGCGGAGCTAGAAGGGGCCGGAGCTAGAAACAAGTGAGGCGTACAGTGCCCGAAGAGGCGAGGCGAGGAACAGCCTGAGCTAGGAGCGACCTAAGCCAGAGTGGCGAGACTAGGACGAGCCGAAACGAGTAACGAGCGAGGCCTAAGTGCTAATTGAGAACCGAGCGAGGCGAGGAACAAATGAAGTCAGAGGGGCGAGGCTAGGAACACTACTCATAACATGAGGTCGAGCCGAGGTCACGCTAGTAGAGGGTACTGCGGCCGCCAGCCGCTGTGAGTGGAAACCCAGTGGTAATAGGCACTAGGAAGGTGCTGCACGTGCGGAAAGGTGCGGGTGGGTGCGTTCGAATGTGGTGGGGAGCGGTCAGGCACGGTTCAATGCGGTGGAGTGCAGTTGAGAGCGGCGGTGAGGAGCGGTTAGAGGCGGTTAGGAGTGGTTAGGAGCGGTGAGGAGCGGTGAGGGGCGGGTAGAGGCGGATAGGAGTGGTGAGGAGTTGGTAGGGGCGGATAGGAGTGGTGAGGAGCTTGTAGGGGCGGATAGGAGTGCTTAGGAGCGGATTCTGTAGCACGGGCTGCAGCTGCTGCGCTCGCTGCAAATGCGGAGGCAGGTGCTGCGCTTGCTGCTGCCTCTGAACGTGCGTGGCTGCGGCTGCTGCAGGGCGTGCGTGCGAGTGGCTGCAGAGGAGTGTGCAGCAGCTGCTGAAGTCGTGCGTGCAATGGCTGCTGCGTGCGCGGGAGGTTGCTGCTCGCACGCGTGCAGTGGCGTGCGTGCTCGCGGCTGCTGCAGCGCGTGCGGCTGCTGCTGCGTGTGCTGACCCTGCTGTGCGCGCGTGGCGAGCGTGCGCGCATGGCGAGCGTGCGTGCGGACGGCAGCTGCAGCGCGCGGCTGCCATTCGTACTGCTGGCGCACGTGCACCTGCGTGCGCTACTGCGTATGCGTGGCTGCGCGCGCGTGCGATCGTGCGAGCTAGTGGGGCGAGCAGGCTGCGCGCGAGGGTAAGGGGCAGGGTGGGGCGCGGACGGGTATGGGGCGTGACGAGTACGGGGCAGGCTAGGGGCAGGGCCTGCGAACGGACAAGGCACGACCTGCTAAGGGGACGGGGCACGACGTGCTAAGTGGCGGGGCGATTCGGGGCTAGGCTAGGATCTCACCTACTCGTGATACCATCTTAATAACCTAGTTACTTGAGTAGCGAGAGAATGGTGAGACTAGGTCAAAGGAGGGGGATACAACCAAAGTGTCAAGAAAATTTGTACCCCCTAACATGCAACTCACTAGAGCATATCTATATCTACAAACATAGTTTGACATACCCTACTTGTTAGGTAGGGCCTCAGAGTCTCATACTCATCTTAGAGTTGTCTGATTGGTCAGACTTGTCACCTTCCGTTGGCCTGAGGATGCCGAATCTCTCAAGAGTTACATAGCGGAAGTGATAGAATTAGGTCAAAAGGGAGAGGTACAAGGAGAGTATCGAGTGAAATTATGTACCCCCTAGCATGCAACTCACTACAAGTTGAATAACTATATAATATAAATTTGACACACCCCCATAGCCTAAGTGAGAGGCATAAAAAACGACCAAGACAAGCAAGTGGTCACAAGACCAGTCAAGAGAAGAAACACAACAAGCTCAGGGTGGATCACAATGCCACCATACAGTCCAAGCACAAGCAATCGGCCACAAGGCCAGTTCAACAGGTCACAAGTATATATAAATGCAAGTACAAGCAACAAGAGGCAATACTACAGCAGTCGAGGGCCTACCTCAACAATGCCTAACTGCAAACAGAACCTGTGGTGGTCACAAGGCGGAAGTGCCTTCGTGAAGATGTCTGCAGTGTTGGCCACTAAGGCCACAAAGTCCAAGCGTGCCTGACTGCGTCGCTGCAACTCTCGAAGGAGACTATACATGACGTCGATGTGCTTCACTCTGCTCTCCAGTCGAGGCTCTCGACACAGGAGAGTCATGGCCTTGTTATGAGCGAACAAGGTCGGTGCACAACGAAGCCGCTCACTAAAGTCGGTGAGTAAGAAAGTCAACCAGCGAAGCTCCTGCGCAGCCATGGCACCGGCGTAGTTTCAGCTCAGCACTGGAGGTAGCCATACACAACGACCGAGTAGACCACCACGACACATCTCCAGCACCCAAGCTGAAACAGTACCCCTGAGTCCAGCGCAGAGTCTCCACGTCGTCGGCATAGGAAGAGTCACAGTGACCGGTCAGCACAACTGGCTCTGCCCCTCCAAGCACAAGTTCCATGCCTGATGTAGTCGCCAGGTACTTTGCCACCCTCACAGCAGCCGTCTAGTGAACAGGACGGTGTCTCCTAGTTGCAACAAAGCGAGAGAGGACGCTGAGAGGAAAGGCGAGGTCCGGTCGAGTACAAGTCATCAGGTACATGAGGCAGCCCACAAGCTCTGCGTACGGACCACTGGACTCAAAGGGTTTGTCGGGAAAAGGGCCAGTGAGTCTGTGGTCGACGGCAAGAGGAGTGGGCTGTGTGGTGGAGAACTGAAACCCGAACCGCAGAAGGACCTGCTGCACCATGTGTGATTGAGTCAGTGTGATGGTGCGAGCGGCTCTGTCCTTGGTGATCTGCGAGCCAAGGTAGCGCTGCAGTTCACCGAGGTCAGTGCACGTGTGTCTCTTCTGTAGTTCGAACTTCACATAAGCCAGAGCTGCCCTATCTGTTGTAGACCAGGTCGTCGACGTAGACCAGCATAAAGAACGGAGTGGAACCAGCGCGAACAAACAGCGACGGGTTGGCAGAAGAGGGACGAAACCCAAGGTCACAAAGCGTGGAGCGAAGAGTGTCGCGCCACTCACGGGGCGACTGGCGGAGACCGTAGACTGGGCGCCTCATGCTCTACTACGTTCCAGGTGGGAAGGTGTCAGTGAAGCCAGGAGGATGTCGCATCCAGATCTCCTCATGCAGGCGGCCCTCGAGAAATGCAGTGGAGAAGTCGAGGGCGTGCAACTCGTAGTCTCGCTGTGCTGCTACGTGAAGTAACACCCGAAGAGTAGTCATCTTCGGGGTCGGGGCGAAGGTCTGGAAGAAGTCAACTCCCTCACGCTGATTGAGGCCCCTAGCCTCGTAGCGCACCTTGAAGACAGGCGGTGATCCAGGTGGTCGCTTCACCTTAAAGATCCACATGACATCGACAACGTTCGCCCTAGGAGGGGGAACTGCGTCGACGTAGGTGCCTGTGGATCTCCAAGACGCCAACTCTGAGTCCATGGCCACTTTCCACTGAGAGGCCCACTCCCCTGACACTGCCCCACGGTACGTGCGAAGAGTCGGTATGTCAAGGGCGTCGGGGTCTCACTCAGGGGAAAGCAGCATGGCACAGAGAGAGGGTGAAGCGGCTGCCAAGAACTCCAGCTCAAGGCGGCGGGTGGTAGCGAAGTCACCGACAGCGGCAGTAAGAGCCGAGACAGACGACGGAGAGGCACGAGGGTCAATGACAAGAGAGGCAAGAACACGAGAGACATCAGGGCGAGCAGCACGGTAGTAGTCAGAGATAGGAGTAGAGGAGACAGTGAGAGACGACTCAAGAGGTGACGGAAGAACAGACTCAGGCGGAGAACGGCGACGACTAGAACAAAGGAGGGCAGTGCGGAGGTCGTCAGAGGGAGAGGAGGGACGAGCACGCTGAGGACAGGGACGAACACGGCAGGGGGAGACTAAGAGCGGACAAGAGAAGAGGAGGGAAGACCAAGGGCTCGAAGGCCACTCACGGGTGGGAACAACTGCCGCACAAGAGGCAGCTGCGGCGGCTGCTGCTCCTGCTGCTGCTGCCGCTGCTGTTGTTGTTGCTGCTGCTACTGCTACTGCTGCTGCTGCTGTTGCTGCTGCTGCTGCTGCTGCTGCTGCTGCTGCTGCCGCCGCTGCTGATGATGATGCTGCTGCTACTGCTGCTGCTGCTGCTGCTGCTGCTGCTGCTGCTGCTGCTGCTGCTGCTCCTCCTGCTGCTCCCGCTGGTCTAACTGCTGCAGCTCGTGCCTCTCCTGCTCCAACCGCTCCTGCTCCTCACGCTCACGTCGGCGAAGAGCCTGGAAACGTGTGTCGTGGCGGTGGGGAGGCGCAGTAGTAGTGCCTCCAGCTCCAGTCTCCTCAGAACTAGCATCTCCAGCGCTTGTACCTCCTGCTCCAGCACCCCCAGAACTAGCACCTCCAGTGCCAGCACCTCCAGCTTTAGCACCCCCCGAACGAGCACCTCCAGTGCCAGCACCTCTAGCTCCAGCACCGGGATTGGGGTGTTGGAGGGTAGAGGGGTAGTGTGAGATATACCTGATGGGCCAGGACCAGGGGGGGCGGGGTTACCGGAGGAGCGGGAGCAGGAGGAGGAGAGGGTGCGAGGAAAGAGGAGGAGGGGGGACCAGGAGACTTCGACAGGGGTACCGAGTGTAGTAGGACAAAGACTCGTCAGACGGGACGTCACGGGAGTCGAGGAAACGGTGGAGGGGCGGGTGGTAAAACGAAAATTAAGGAGAGTCCACTGGGAAACCAAGGGAGACGCAAGGGATGGCGCGAGCCGAGAGCTTATCTGCAGAGGTGTCGCAAACAAGCGCAAGGCAGCCCCAGACGTGAAACTCCTACGCAACACCAGGGGACCCAATCCAAAGACTGGTCGGTGAAGCCCCTGGTCGTGAGACACGAGGCCAGAGGTTCAGCTGGTGGGCGGCGTAGCGAACCACGTAGGGCCACAGAAAATGGGGCGCACGGGCATGTATCATGGAGGTGCGGGCGATCTCCATGACCAAGCCAATGCGGCGCTCAGCAACCCCATTCTGCTGTGGGGACTCCGAAAGCATCCAGGACTGTCTGATGCCCTGCTCGCCGCAGAACCCGGCAAGTACGTCAGAGCGGAACTCACCCGCACGGTCAGACTGGAGACAATGGACACGACGACCACTGGTAACCTTAGAGGCCAGGAGCCACCGGATTAGCATAGAAGTCACATCGGACTTCTTCGCGAGAGGAAACACCGTGGTGTACCTGTAGTAGTCGTCAACGACCACGAGGAAATAGCGCTCCCGCTCAGGTCCAAGACGAGGGGCTGGGCCCCAGACGTCTAAGTGGAGGGTCTGGAAGGGAGCGGTGGCCGTACGAAGGGAGGAGTGAGGAGTGGCGCGCAGCCGACCCTCGACGCAAGGAGTGCACGTCGGTGCAGGCGAACGAGGGAGTGACTCAAAGACCCGCGGGAAACCCGAGACAAGACGTTGGCTGGCCATGCTACGGAGGCGTGGGAGGGACGGGTGACCAAGATGGTGGTGCCACAAGACTGTCGGGTGGGAGAGTGACCGACAAGAGCAAGATGCAACAACCAGACCGGACACAGCAACCTGGCCGGACACAGCAGCCTGACTGGACACAGCAACCTGAGGGGACGCAGTTACTTGACCAGACTCTGCTACCTTGGGGGACGCATTGTGTAGAGTGAAGAGACTTAAGTGGGGCTCCCTGGTGAACGTGGCAAGAAGTGCCCCGGTGGAAGCATCCGTACAGATCGCCGTCCTCCCGTTCGCAGGAAAAGTGATTGTGATCCCACGGTCCTGAAGGTATCCAACACCCACCAAGTTCCGAGAGAACGAGGGGATGTAGAGACCAGTGAGGAAACTAGAAGGGACAGCCGAGCACGGGAGAGTGGTAGTATCAGCCAGGGCAACTGGGACTGGAGCAGAAAGAGGTGTGACAGTGGTGTGGTCGCGGAAGAAGCACTGAGGTGCGCCTGAGTCCAGCGTGAAGGAGAGCGACGCGACATCAGTCGTCACGGCTGGACTAGTGACTACACAAACACCTACACGGAAAGCACAAGTACCTACACTAGCAACAGTCAACGGTCCTAAGCTAGGTACACACAAGCCAAGAGATCCATACGTGATAGAATAAGCAGCATTCATAGACATATCAAACACATGGTAACCACAACGAGAAAGACCTGGCCAGATCGCTGGCCTCGAGTCAAGCCCAAAACGCTCACGGTAGAGGTCGTCGAGGCTACTGTAGCAGCGCTGTGCAGTGTGGTCAGGACGCCAGCAAGTAGTGCTAGCACCAAGGCCAGTCAGGATCCGGTATTGGCAGGGGCCGACGTCGCGGCCACCGCGACGAGCCCCCCAGCTGGCTGGGCTGCTGCTGCACCCAACGCTACCCGAACCTCTAGGTCCCCACTGCTGTTGTGGGCACCACTGCTGCTGAGGGCGCCACTTCTGAAATTGCCGCTGTTGCTGTCCCTACTGCTGGAGAACTCTAGTGGACGCCATGGTAAAGGTGAGCTGGGCGTAGGAGCGGCAAGCTAGGAGTAGCTAGAGTTAGACACGGCTGGAGCAAGGCACGGCTGGAGCTA